AAAAAAATTCTAACACATTTCAATTTTCTTAAAAAAATAGCTGGAGTTTCAGTTACACGATGGTGGGCACCATCTTGACTTTTATGAGCCCCTTTTGTGGACCCTCCGAGACCTGCCTGGAGTCCTGCTATCCGAGTCAAGGTTCTTGAATTGCTCCCAATGTCTTCTCACCTGTAGCTAAGAAAGTGCCAAAGAGGCAACAGAATAAGAGGGACTTCATGGCAGAGAACAAGATGATTGATGCCCAGGGCAATCTGGATAGAGATATCTGGAGGGAAGGCAGAAAGAAACAGAATCAGGAACACAATGTAGGTATAAATTTTATCATAGTGCCAGTTTTCAAATAACAATAACAAACCAGTTTCAAGAATCTTTCCCCCCCTTTTAATAGCTTTTTAAAAAAATAGGAAGAACAGGAAAAAGACAAATCTAGAAACAAACTTCACTCTCAAGAAGGGATTATGTAAGCTCCTGATAATAACTGCATTTTTCTCCATTGCCTGTTTGGCCACTGAAGTCAATGGCTTAGTTATTACCAAGTTGTAAGAAAGTTACCTCATATTAAAAAAAAATCATTACTGGGATCTATAGGAGTTGTCTTTGTTGACATTGGTTGTTTTGGTAGACATTAGGCATGTGTAGTTTAATGAAAAGAAGGACTAGGGTGACATGATAGCAATATTGGTGCAGCCCCAATAGCTAAGGGGCTGCCACAAAGAAGAGGGGGTAGTACTATTCTCCAATGCACCTCAAGGCAGGAAAAGAACTAGTAGATGAAAACTAACCAAGGAGAGGAGCAACCTAGAACTAAGGAGAAATTTTCTGACAGAACAATTAATCAGTAGAACGACTTGCCTTCAGAAGTTATGGATGCTGCATCATTCAAGGTTTTCAAGAAGAGATTGGACAATGATAGAGTTTCCTGGTTGAGCAGAAGGTTGGACTAGAAGACCTCCTAAAGCCCCTTCCATTTCTTTAATTCTGTTTTTCTGCCTTCCTCTAAGCTCCTAGATCATCTAAAACTATGGGATGGAGACTCACCATCATCTCCATCTCACACATACACCCATACATAAATTTCCCTGGCTTTCAAGATCAATATTTGGGTAGCGACATAGAATAAACTCCATCCTTATTATCTACACAACAAACAAAGGCTACCCAAGTCCTTCAACCAAGGTCAGGACCAGCCCACCTTGAAGTAAGGTAAAAGGAATCTGCAAGTCTTTGTAGGATTCTCAACCCTTAAGAAGGAAGTAGGCACTTACCTAGAGCTTCAAGAAGCTGCAGCCAGCAATTTTACCTTAGAGGCTACCAGGTGCTATCAGTCAATGGGCACAGCTCCTTCTTCTTTTGTGTTTCCTTTTTGTAGGAGAGCTAGAAGGTTATGTTTTTGGAACCACCTCTCAACCGCCCGTTATGGGATATATTTACTTTCCACCCAGATAGAGAATTTTTTTAAAAAGGTAAACCTTTTGCCAGTCCACTGTCCTTTTCAAGGATAACCTGAGGCAATCGCTTGACCTATTCTGCTCTTAGAGCCAACTGTCCATAGCCTGCTGTATCAACCTTTGAACATGATAGTATTATTTGGGATTAAAAATTCACCAGGCGGTCAATATAGATTTCACCACTGGGAGAGGGAAATAGCTAAACAGATAACAGATAATCAGAGTTGGAAGGGAACTTGTAGGTCATCTAGTTCAACCCCCCTACCCAAATGGGAGACCCTACACCATTTCTGACAGATGGCAGTCCAGTCTCTTCTTGAAAGCCTCCAGTGGTGAAGCTCCCACAACTTCTGAAGGCAACTTCTGCTCCATCGGTTGATCGATTGCTCTGTCAGAAAATTTCTCTTTATTTCCAGGTTGCTTCTCTCCTTGTTCAGTTTCCATCTATAATTCCTTGTCTGGCTTTTGGGTGCTTTAGAAAATAGCTTGACCCCCTCTTCTTTGGGGCACTATGCCGGAGCAGTTGGAAGTCAGCTATTCACAAACTGTCTCTGTGAACCATAAATGGGGGCTGCAAACAGGGAAAGTTAGGTGAACCAATCTTATATAAATTCTGATTGTAAATGGGAAGTTTGGAGATGGGCCTCATGGTCTTGATGGGCATAACCAGTAAAATTGTAGATCTGCATGGAACCTTGAGTCTTCCATTGAGGGCCAAACCCAACAGGGTCTTCCAAGAGTGTCGTGTCCGTCGCAAGGAATGAGACTCGGAGTCAGTGACTTAGTTCAACTCATTTATTGATTCCCGAGATCGGCTCAGCTTCCGTAAGAAAAGCGGCGGCTTTTATTCTTTGGCCGCGGCGGCCGCGGCCAATGGCACCGCTTTGAATCTCCCGCGATTAGTTTCCACCAATCACGGGAGTTTCGCGGCGGGCCAATCAGTGCGGCTCGCTCGGCCAATCAGCTCGCCGTGCGTCTTGGCCAATCGCTGCGCAGTTCTACAAGAATGGTTATGACCGTACAGAACACCCCTCCCCTCTTGGTAGGGTCCTACGTAACATAGTCCCGTAAGTAGGCGCGGCTACGTACTTGTCTACTTGACCTGCGCAGGTTAGTTGGTGCTTGGCTCCCGGCCGGTTCGGTCGGGTTCTGTGTTGCTCCTCGTCCTGTTGATGGAACCATCTGGAAGGCTGAGCCGGGCCTTTCATTGCAGCTCCCTCCCGGTCTACCCGGGCTAGATGAGTTGCGGTTGCCGCTCCCGCCTGGTCTTTCCGGGCTGGTTGAGCTGGCCTGGCTGCTTCTTCCTGGTGAGGTGTTGAGTTGGCTGCTTGCCGGTGAGTATTCCTGGTTTCTTTCTAGTGGGGTTTGGTCTTTTGGGCCTTCCCTCCCCTCTTGGTTTGTGTTGGGGGGGTTCCCTTCTGTGTTTGTTTCTGTTTGTGTGTCGGTTGTGTTTCCCGTGGCTGTTCTAGACCTTAACTGGTCGATGTGTCGTTTCCATGCTCGTCCGTCGGTTGTCTGTAAACGGTACGAGTGGGGACCTGTCACTTGGGTTATGGTTGCTGGTACCCAGAGTGGGTCTCCGGTGAGGTTTTTTGCGTATACCGAGTCACCTGTTTTAAAGGTTCGGTCTTTGCTTGAGGAGTTTGGGGGTTTTTCAGGGTTGTATGTGGGGTGCAGTCTGTCGAGTGGGGACCTTAATTTTCTCCCCATCAGTAGTTCTGCCGGGCTTTTATTTGTTGTTGTATTCGGGGTTATGTGTTGTATAAAGAGCATTTTGTTTATTTTCTCTTGGATTTCCCCGTTTTCTATCTTTTGGATGGTTTTTTTTTTGTAAATTGAACCATCCGTTCCACCCTCCCGTTCGCCGCCGGATGTGCCGGCGCTGTCAACGCGTGTCGTATCCCCCGCTCCGCTAGGAATTTTTTGAATTCCAGCGAGGTAAATTGGGGCCCGTTATCGGATACGAGGACGTCTGGGAGGCCGTGGGTTGCGAATAGTTTGCTGAGTTCTTTGGTGACGGCCTCCGTGGTGGTAGTTCTCATGTTGCTTACCTCCAACCAGTTGGATTAAGCGTCTACCGTGATGAGGAAGGTGTGGCCTTTTGTGGGCCTGGCAAAATCTATGTGGATCCTGGACCATGGTCCCCTAGGGGTTTCCCATTCCAGGATTGGGGTGGTGGGAGGGCTGGGTCTGGTTTCCTGGCATCTGTTGCACGCTGCCACCCAGGCCTTGATTCGTTTGTCCATCCCAGGCCACCAGGCGTAACTTCTGGCCAAGGCCTTTGTCCTAACGATGCCTGGGTGCCCCTCATGCAATAATTTCAAAACCTTTCCCTGTAATTTTTCCGGAATAACAACCCGGTCCTCCCAAAGTAAACAACCTTTTTGCAATGACAGTTCTGTTTGTCGGTTCCGGAATGTCCTGAAGGTTTCGTCGTCGTCTTTTTCGGGCCACCCCTTCTCTACCCAATGCAATACCTGTGCCAGACGTTTGTCTTTATTAGTTTCACGGGCAATGTCTGACGCGGTTATGGGTAGATCGGGCAGAGTCTCTATGCTGAGGGTGGTCGTCGTGGGTGCTGGGTCGGTGTCGAAGTCTGGTAGCGGCATGCGACTCAGGGCGTCTGCGTGGGTGATTGTCTTACCAGGTCGGTGTGTGAGCCGGTAGCTGTAGGCGGCAAGGAATTCGGACCACCTTGTCATTCTAGGGGATAGAATGTTCGGGGTGGCCCTGTTCCCTGCCAGGATTCCCAGCAGCGGCTTGTGGTCAGTGATGATGGTGAAGGCTCGGCCGTAGATGTATTCGTGGAACCTTTTGACGGCGGCAACGATGGCCAGGGCCTCTTTGTCCAGCTGACTGTAGTTCCTTTCCGGTTTGGTGAGGGTTCGTGAGAAAAAAGCGATGGGTGCTTCCTTTCCATCGGGGAGAGTGTGGCTGAGGACGGCGCCGACGCCGAAGGGTGATACGTCGCATGTGACGGCTAGCGGTAGGGTCTCGTTGTATTGGATGAGGACGGCATCCGAGGTGAGCAGGTCCTTGGTTTTGTTGAAGGTGGCTTCCTCGCGTTTCCCCCAAGTCCATGGAGCCGCCTTGTCCAGGAGCCTATGCCTTCTGGGGCAGGAAAACATTATAAAAATTAAGCAGTCCTAGAAATGCCTGTAGTTCCGTTTTATTATTCGGCCTGGGGGCTTCCTTGATTGCTCTGATTTTTTCCTCGGTTGGGTGAATTCCGTGCCGATCTAAGAGGTACCCCAGGAACTCGACCCTCTCGGTGTGTAATTGGCATTTTTCTTTTTTAACCTTCAGCCCCGCATTTTTGAATTTTGTTAGGACCTCCCTCAGGCGACCCTCTAGCTCTGTTTGGTTGGTTGCCAACAACAGTACGTCGTCGAAGTAGGGTACCACCCCCTTGATTCCTTGCAGGAGTCTCTCCATGAGGCTCTGGAATATTCCTGGGGCCACGCTGACTCCAAACTGGAGTCTCTTACAGCGGAAAGCCCCCCGGTGGGTTACTATGGTTTGCGCCTCGGCCGTTTCTGCGTCGACTGGCAGCTGCTGATAGGCTTGTGCCAGGTCGAGCTTCGCAAAGACCTTGCCTCCCCCCAGGGAGTGTAGGAGGTGCTGCACTACTGGGACGGGGTAGGCGCTTTACTGCAAGGCGCAATTTAGGGTGGCCTTATAGTCCCCACAGATTCTCACCGACCCATCAGGCTTGACGGGGGTGACTATGGGGGTCTCCCACTGAGCATGGTCGATTGGCTCGAGGACCCCTTGTCTGACGAGCTTGTCTATTTGCTCATCGATCTTTGGCCGGAGTGCGAATGGCACCCGCCGTGGTTTCAGGCGAATTGGGGGAATGCTGGGGTCTAGGCTGAACGAAATAGGGGGCCCTCGGTACTTGCCTAGGTTGCCGTCGAACACTTCCTGGAAGTCCCTCGCGAGTTGCTCCTCCCAGTCGGCCTCCCCGATGTGGTTGATGCCCGTTACCTCGATTCCGAGTGGCGCGAACCACTGCAGTCCCAAAAGGCTAGGGCGGTCTCAGTCCACGATCGTCAGGGGAAGCCTTGCTGTTCGCCCCTTGAAAGTTACCTCGAACTGGCCTGTTCTGACTACCGGTATGCGGTTCCCTTGGTAGTCCTTGAGGATTAGGCTCTGGCTTTCCAGCCCCCTCCTGTGGATGGCAGGCACCAGGCGCTTGATTTCCCGCCATGCAACCATGGAGAGGTAGGACCCGGAGTCCACCTCCATCTTGCATGGCTCGCCCTCGATGCCCACTTCCACATATACTTTCCGAGCGTCTGTGCTGGAGGAGTGGCCGATGACGACCGTCTGGTGGGTCTCCTCTCTCCGCCTGTTCCCGCCGTCTCGTCAGCCCCGTCCTTCTCGGCTCCATCGGCTTTCGGCTTGGCGATCTCTGGGCCTGGGGGGGGGGTGCCGTCTCGTCTTCGGTTGCTGTCGTTTCGCCGCTGGGGGCTGTAGTTCTTCTGAGTCATCAGACTCGGGCGATGTGGCCTCTTTTGTCGCAGTGCCACCATATTGCATCGAAGAACCGGCACTCCGATCGAGGGTGGTCGCCTCCGCACCCGGCGCACGGTTGCCCCGACTTACGACTCCGTCGATCGCGCCGGTCCTGGTCCGCCTGGAGTCGATGTACGTCCTCTTCCCCGTCCGTGGTGTCGGAGGCGGAGTCGAGGTCGCCATGGTGTGTGGTGGTCTCTCGGCGGCTTGCTTCAGAGCGCGTCTCAGTTGCCGTGCCTGCCTCGGTGGTCGCATTTCGGTCCCCGGTGTCGGGTCTCCGCATTCGGGCCGCTGATTTCCGGGTCGCCTCTGCTGCGGTGGCGTCTGCGAGGACGTCGGCGAGGGCGATGTCGCCTTTTGCCATCAACCAGCTCTGGAGGACTGGGTCTCTGAGTCCCAGGACGACACAGTCTCGGAGCGCCTCGTCCATGTCCGTAAAGCCACACATGCCCCCGAGATTTCGCAGGTCGGCCACG